TAAAGAGCCCTGGTGGTCCTGCCTTGGGCTGCTAACCGCAGTCAGCAGTTCGAACCCACCACCCTCTCTCCTGGGGAAAGAGGGGACTTTCTGCTCCCGCTGAGTTTGATTGGGTGGTGGTTTATGAGCCAACCACAAACCCCCCCTGCCCCCCAAATCACTTTATTGGGGCTCTTACAGCTCTTATAACATGTCATACATCAGTTGTATCAAGCACATGTGTACATATGCTGCCATCATCATTTTCCAATCATTTTCTACTTCAGCCCTTGGTATAAGCTCCTCTTTTTCCCCCCGCCCTCCCACCCTCGTGAATCCTTGAGCAATTCTATATAAAGCTCAGAGCTTGTCCATAGGTAAAAATGCACATTTTCTTTTTCCTAATGCTACTATGTTTTGAGCTCCAGATTGATTTCAATTAGGCAACCTGTTGGTATTGTAGTTTGACTGTTTATGGGTTGTTTGTTTGTTTTAGGCATCTGTGCGATGTGTGGGAAAAAGGTTTTGGATACCAAAAACTACAAGCAAACATCCGTCTAGCTACTGATGAAGATTCTGGCATTTCACGATTTTACTTTCTGCTTTGAACTGTTAAAGCATAGCATAGATGTACAAGTCACAAAATAACTTGTTGTCAGACAAATAAGTTTGAGGGCAATTGATATTCATTATTTTGCTCTCAAGAAGGAATAGTAAAAATGTAATTAGTTTTCTGTCTTCAGTTGTTGTTTTTCTTAAACATTTTATTCAACTAGAATAAGTAGCGAATTTAATGGGAAAAGAAAACAAAAATCCCAGTTCTGTATGCACTTTTTATCCCACATCTTTCGTGTCATCCCTGTTGTTTCCTCCTTCGTTTGTAGGTATTGGAAGAAAGAGTAGGAGAGTACTGATGTTTTGTTCTGGGCCTGGCATCTAGGCTTATCATTCTTACTGATTTTTGCTTGCCTGTTATTCCCTTACTGGTTGTCTGGTTCCCTTACTGCAGTTTCTCGGGGTTTTTAATTGTCTGAAAACATTGCTGCTGACTGCTCATGTCATGCTCGAGTCAGATCAGCGACCAGTTAGATTTGTGCACTTGGGTGGTGGTAGTTCTTGATGTGAGATGTCCAGTTCCTTTGTTCTAAGAACAAGGAACATCTCCATGCCCAAATTCATATAGCAGACTTCAGAAATGCATGTGTACACACATTACCTTGAATTCAACTGTCATGAAAGC